CGCGGCCGAGGGGGAGGGCCGGGGATCGGACGTCGCCCCTGCCCACCTCCTGCCGCCCTCCGCCCGCAGGCTCCCGAGCCTCAGTCAGCGCCGAGCATCCCGCTGCCCCGGACCCTCCCGCGGGCGCGCAGCGGGCTCAACTCAGGTAAGGGGGGCCTCCCCCCACGGGCACAGGGGCTGAGACCCAGAGACCTAGAGACCCAGAGACGGAGATGGAGAGACACACACACAGCTGGGAAGAGAGACACACACACAAAGACACGAGACGCACAGAACCACCGAGATAGACCCCACGAAGAAGGGGAGAGACACGTCCACGGGGACAGAGAAACACACAGAGACTGCTAGAGGGATAAGCAAAGAGAGTCTGGGAGAGAAACGAGACACACTCAGACACCTGGAGATGGGGACACGCAGAGAGACAAACACAAAGAGAGCTACACAGAGAGACAGACAGCCACACACAAACCCAGAGGTGGGTCTGCAGAGGCACACATCCAACAAGGGAGCAGAGAGACAGAATGAGACAGCCAGACGCACAGACACACATACCTGACCTAGAGAGACAGTCTCACAGAGGCACACCTAGGCACACAGCCTTGGATACACAGACCCACACATGCCTGCCAGGGCCTCCACAAAGTTCCCTCTGTGTGAGCTGGCGCCTGTGGAGGTCTCTAGGGCAGCTGGCTGGAGTCCTGAGAGAGAGAAGGCACCCAGGCCACACACCCCCATCCTGGTCACAACCCCCATCCTTCTGGGCCTTGGGCTACCCAGTCCCACCCATCAACAGAAGGCTTTTGAGGACTGGAAGCTTAGTGGGCAGGGCCAGGCGATGCCCACTGGTTCTAAGGAGAAAGAGATAAAGGCTGCCTACTCCACCCTCCCCACTCTGCCTACACGCCCACCCAGATGGGGATGTTGACTCTGTTGGGTATTTGAGCCTGCTGGGACCCAAGGTCCTCTGTCAGGGAGGACAGTGGTGAAGGGGTGCTCTCTTCCCTACCCCTCTCCTCCTAGGCCTCACTCCACCTCTCCCTCCTCACCACCTTCTCCTTTGCTCTGTACCCCCCACAGGCTTAGGACTGCAGGTACACATCTCCACTGCCCAGGAATCATTGAGTGTGTGGACAGGACAGCCTCTTTGGAAGGCCGGCCATACCAGAGTCCCACCTCGGCATGGGCCTTGCCATTGAGGCAGCTCCGCTGTCTGTGCTGGTCTGAGGGTGCTGCCCGTCATGGGGGCAGCCATCTCACAGGGGGCCCTCATCGCCATCGTCTGCAACGGCCTTGTAGGCTTCTTGCTGCTGCTGCTCTGGGTCATTCTCTGCTGGGCCTGCCACTCTCGCTCTGCCGACATCGACTCTCTCTCCGAATCCAGCCCCAACTCCAGCCCTGGCCCCTGTCCTGAGAAAGCACCACCACCCCAGAAGCCTAGCCATGAAGGCAGCTATCTGCTGCAGCCCTGAAGGCCCCTGGTCTAGCCTGGAGCCTGGGACCTAAGTCCACCCACCCAGAGCCTGGAATCAGAATCCCAGAGTTCAGGCCAGCCTGGGGTCCAGAACTCGGAGTTCAGTCTGCTTGAAGCTGGACCCAGCAGCCCAGAGTCTAGCCAGCTTGGCTACAAGAGGGGCTCAGGTGGCCGTAGGGAGATGGGCCTGGAGTGGGGGTTCATGAGTTGGTGCTAGGGCCAGGGCCATCCGGACTCTGTCCATTCCAAGGGCCAGGGGCTGTGGTCCACCCTTTCCCTAGGATAAGCGCCTATAGGCCCTCTAGGTTGGGGAAGCAAACTGGAACCCATGGCAATAACGGGAGGGTGTCCAGGCTGGGCCCCTTCCCTGGTCCTCCCACTGTTTGCTGGATAATAAATGGAACTATGGCTCTACCCTGAGATTTTTCTCTTCCTGAGGGCCCTGCAGTAGCAAAATTAAAGGCATGAGTAGGCTTTCTAATACAGGTTTATTTGTGCAAAGTAAGAGGGGGTAATGGTGGTTGAGGGTCAAGTTCTGGGGTAAGGTGCTGGGACCTTGAGCAGAGTGAAAAGGGCAGATGCTGGGACCTGACCGGTGGTGGTGGTGGGGGGGGGGGGCAACATGCTGGTTGCTAAGGCTGGGTTAGACACCAGGGGCAGGCACTGCAAGTACTGGGTTCAAGAAACAGGACAGAGTCCAAGGCCAGGCCCTCAGCTCTTGGTTTTTACTTCCCTCACCAGATTCAGCAGTTTGTCCAATTTTGCAGTCTCCACAGCTGGACCCTTCTGCATTTCCTGCCCCTTCTTTTCCTGGGGAGAGGGGAAGTATATGTGGGAGAGGAATGGCGAAGGATGGGCCAGGTGGGACCCAGTGCTGCCTCCCCTGCCCGGTAAATTCTGGATCCCTGCCTCCCCTACGTCCCCATAATCTTTCCCCAACTCAGGTTTGGTGACACATGGGCCCAGCTGAGGGCCTACGAGAAGAGCTCAGATGGACATAGCCTGGCAGGAGGGGGTGAAAGCATCCATCCCCTGACACTCAGAGGAACTAGCTTTTCAGGCCAGGGAGAGCTGTAGTTCTGGGGAGGGGTAGAGCCTGTCAGGACCACCCTTCCCGCAGGAGGGTCCCCATCAAGTAGCTAATAGGCATGTGTTTGAGAGGGAGAGGGGTGTGGACAAAGCCATAGGTGCCTCACCTAGTACTCGTAGCTAATACCTTCAGGTCAGGTTGGGAGTGGGGTGCCATTTGGGGACAGGCCTGCTGTGTCAGACACACCAAGGTGGGAAGGGAGTCAGGAGACCCATGAGGGCAGATGGGATTTCCCATGTGATTCCAGATGTCATTGGCTGAGACTGTCCCCTTAGAAGAACAGATCCTGGGGCCGGCCCGGTGGTGCACTGGAGAGTGCGCCGCTTGGGAGTGCGG